TCATCAAAAATGATAACACCATATAACACTTTCCATCAATAAATGTAATATCTGAGGGTATATATACTTACAAGATTATTGTATATTTTGTTTATATTATTAGTTTGTTCATATTTATATTTGGGCATGTGATGCAGTGTTGAGCTACTACTGATGAATATGTGTGTATATATATATATATATATATATATATATATATATATAGTGTTTGGGATCATTCTTTTCTTTTATTACTGTTTAACGATCACTTTTTGAGTTAGAGCTCATCTGAAATAAATAAATTCTTGAATAGAAAAATAAATAAATTCATTCATTCAACACAAAAAAAATGTTATGACAAGACATGTATATGTAAACCTACTGAGACAATGCTGCAAATTAGAAACCCATAAATCTTTGATATCATGTCTCAGCAATCTACTTTCATCAGGTTTTTAGTTTTAATAAGCCTACCTGCACCAGCTCATATCCCATCCATTGGAGGTGTCGCCTCTTTGTGACTTCCTTTCCCAGCAGATGCTGTGTGTTGCTACAGAAACGGTTTTGACCATCCAAACACAGTGCAATTCTGTTCAAGACATGATAATGAAAAGTTCAAATATTCAGTCAAGATGTTGTGCAAAAGTCGTACCGTCCAAGAAATTAAACGGTCTATGTGGTATAAGAATTTTCCGCCATGGAAATTTGTATAATCTAAATATTCTACCTTCAGCAGAAACATGTTACCGTAAATCTAGCCTCATTAAACAGAACATTTCTCACCTTTTATGAGTTTGTTCCCACTGAGACAGTGGAAGGATGAATCCATTCTCATCCAGGCATAATTCCACATCTAAATATAAAACAGAAGCAAAACAATCCATAAAAAATGATTTAGTTTGAATATAATAATGCAAGAATATCATCCAGAAAAACTGCAATTTTGGAAGCAGTGTGGTAAAGAGAGTTTTTGATCGATAAGTTTCAACAGACCTCAAAATTACTAGTTTTTTTCCTATACCCAAAATGTAACATGGCACTCAAATATGCTGAAACCTGGCTTCACACAATGTTTTCCTATACTTTTCAAATAAAGAAAAAGAAATGGACATGCATTACTCGCCAAATAACTGAAAGTCCAAGTAGAATAATTTACATTTAGCAGATTCTTTTATCCAAAGCGACTTACAAAAAGGAGGGTTTAACATATTGAGTGATATAGGTGAATAATGAGTTAGTAAATTATATGTACCCTAATTTTTTCTTTTCAGGATACTGTAATCACCAGAACTGAATGGATCTTAGTATCCAAGGGAACACTGTTGCTAAATTTAGAAAAAGTAATAATTGAAATTATAACATTTACTAATAGTTGAACGGGAAAGATATTTTCAATGTGATCTATAGCATTTTAGTAGAATCCATAGAATTTACTAGAATTTTATTATGTAGTAGCAAAGTTCCCCAGTAAAGCCCTGCCTTCATAGTGTTTTTTTATAGGACATGGAATTGTAGCTTACCTATGGTATATCCAAGGGGGGTAAGGACTCTAGTGGAGAAAAACTTTCCCCCTAGAAGTACATCAAGAGGACCTCTGACTTGTTTGTACAACATACTCTCCATAGGTGTCTCAAAGGCTTGGTCCATAGAGGAAAACTTCTTTATCCGCAGGAAGAAGGGCAATCTGGGACCCTGACGACGCACAGAAACATATCAACCATTGTCAACTTCTCTTTATTGTGTCAGCCGACATGGTTTTTTGAGCAAAATGAAAATCAATTCACAATAAATGAATGTACTATAACCTATATTCTGCTCACCCAGTAGTTTGTGCACTCCAGTGAGGTGGAGAGATGGAGCTGCGTCAGTTGTCCCAGAGTGTTCCTGTCCACCGGCTCCCCCTGTGCTGTAAGGCAGACAAGGACACCTTATGTCAGGGACATTATGTAACCCATTGCATACATACAACAGTCACTGCCATGTCACGTGTCCAAGCACCGGTAAGGAAAGTTACTGTTAGATTTTTCCTAAGTAATCAATCCAACAAGTGGTGACTAAAACAAAAGACATTTCTGTACTGAGAAACTTAGGTTTTACATGTAAGAGAAGAGTTTCTGTGAAATTCTGAATCAAAATGGGAAACGTAAGACAAGCCGCGACCTAATGAAAGTGTTACACGTACCTTGGAGCTTCTGCAGGAAATACGGGCTGAACACTTTGTTTATGTAGTTGAGTGGGAATCGCTCGAGGTGCACACACGCGTGCAGCATGTCTATGAGCGAGCGCGGCTGGAACTGGGAAAACCTTTCCGACAAGATGCTCTCCAGCTTTTGAAACATCCTCCCGGAGCACTGAGGAATAACGGGAAGGGGGACAGGAGAAATCAGACCAGTGTGCAGCTAGACAAACGTCATCAGGCAAGCTTTTTATTCCTGGCACATTGTTTTTCAACCAAATGAGAACAAATAACTAAGCTTTCACAAAGCATTTAAACACCGTACTTATAAAAAAACCTGAAATGTTTTAAAAAATGTATGTTGTTTAATAATATCAGAGGAAAGAGACGGCTTCACCTGTGGCAGGTAACTGAGTCTCCCCATGGCGACCACCTGTTTGGCTATCTGAACGTTGCTGTGTCTCTCAGCACTGCTCACAAAGTTCTCCGCCACAGCCTCAAAGATGGGCTCAGAGCGGCACCTCATTTGCAGACAGTACGCCATGATGATGCTGATCAGCTCTGGATCCAACTGTCCCATCCTCTCTAACAAAAAAAACCCAACATATTTAGTTACTCTTTTTTCTGATCTATCTTTTCCTCCCCACATAACAGAACACACATACATCTGACCAATTACAAAGACAGAAGACTTAGTTAAGTCAGTTAGGTTTACAAAACTTTTTTTTTTCTTCTTAGAAATATCTAAGAGAGCAGGAAGAGACAACACACCTGGTAAGTGTTTCTCCATAGCTGCCAGCAGCTCTTCGTCATGCTGACCCAGAATCATAAGCGCTGAGAGTACCTTTCTTATCTCATCATCGCTGAAAGCTTTAAAGACACGAGACGCCCTGTTGCTCAGCCTCAGCACCAGGGATATGGCCTGTGAAACAAAGCGATGCGTTTTTTTTTTAAAAACTGAATGAATCTGCGAACACAGAACAGCGGGGTTGCGTCTGTCCTGACCTGTCTCTGCTGTAACCTCAGGAGGGACTGTAGGACCTCGCTAACTTGACCGGCCCTCAGCCGGTTGACCAGCCGTTGCGTCTGCCTGTGCAGGGCGGACAGGAGCGGCGCCTGCTGCCGGCTGCCCGGGTCGTGCAGGACGGTCAGCAGGGAGTAGACGGCCACGGCCTCGCCGGGGGACACCAGGTCGTCCTCCACGGCCGTGCCGATACAGGTCAGGACCTCGGTCACCATCGGGCACTGCCGGCCTTCCAGGGCGCACGCCACCTTCCCCATGTGGCAGAGCTGCTCCACCCCGATGTCCCTATTGGAGAGCAGCTCCAGGCTCTCTTTCAGTAGGATGAGGACTGGAGGGCTGTGGGCCTCCAAACCAAACTCCACACAGGCTCCCAGCAGAGTGGCCAGTCCCTCTGCTCTGTCATTAATGGGGAAGCCGGCCAATTTGGAGCACAAGCCAGCAATGACGTCCTCCTCAAAGAGGGTCTGGATGTTTACGAGCTGGGCCCCGTTGCTCTGCGTTTTGGCGTAGGGGGTGTACGGGGAGAGGTGTGAGGTCGCTCTGTGCGCCGTGCGTAAATCGGTGCGGTGCGCCGTCCGTTCTGCGTCTCTGCTCTCAGGCGTAGGACCGGGAAACAGAGCCGTGGCGCAACGCGTTTTTCCGTCTCTCCGGAAAAAGCGCGGATCCGTGACGCACGGCTGTTGCGCGATGACAGCTCTGCTGGCCAAATCCACGTTTGCGCACCGTCCGGCTGAACTGCACAAGCCGAAACCTCGGTACAGAGGAAGGCAGGCAGATGCGTGCTGACACGCTGCCTTCAGTGACGTTGATATACACACGATAGACTTCATTGTTTCGTCTCAGAGATGCTCTTAATCCTGCATCAGAAGAGCACAAACGCATCTGTCAGAACAGAACTTTTCCTTATTCAGACAAACGGAGATGTCAAAAGAGACAAAGTAAATTATACAGATACCCGGCAAGTACAGACAGAAACTAACTACATCTACTTTTAAGCACACATAACAATAATCCTGAACTCTGCTGTTATTATAGAAAAGAGTCCAACTTTGATCCAAAGGAAATAATCGACTTACCCCAAGTGAGACACTGTGAACATGTAACGCTGCAGCATAGTACACACAGAACTGCTCTTCAGCGTTTTGTAATGAAGTTGTGTAAGATCACATGTGTTTACGTGTGCTGCCACTCTGTGGACAAAACGTACATTGCAGGCTGGTCGCATATTATATAGTCACTTCACTGCGGATTGGTTCACACAGCAGTCAGAGGGAGGGTTCGTGGGAGGGGGAAGAAACAGAGGAAACCCCCCGTCATCCAAAAGAGGGGACACCTCCTCCTTAGCTGACATAAAGGCTGGTAGCTCTTCCCTAACGAGACTGAACAAGTTCAGGGCATCACAATTTCTAGTGCTCTGCATTTTATTCAAGGTGGTCAGCTGTAGTGTCACAGAAAATGATAGATTTTTCTTAAGTACTATTGTCAAAAATTATTATCATGAATACTATTATTAGTTGTGGTCATATTTTATTAGTGCTATAATCATAATTTTGTCCATCAGACTGTTCTATTCTTCTGGTGGATGATGAGTAATCTCTGAGGTCTGAGGTTGAGCATTAAAGTCAAATTACTGTTCTTTGATGTATTCATGCTGTTCCATTCTGCTATGATACTGACATAGATACATCATTATGTAGTGAAAGCAGAGTTTAACATAGAGTTAAAGTTGTCAGACACAAAAACATTATCTTAATGAGTCCAATTAGGATTTCTTCTAACAGGGTCACAAACAGTATTAATCAAAAAGGGTGTTTAGACGGTAAGAATATAACAAGGAAAGATAATTTTGTAATAATGTATATTGAAAATCCTGCATCAGCTAGAATTGCCAAAAAAGTCACAGAGACACTTAAAAATGAAGGAAGGGAACTTATTTTAGGGAGGAAAGTTTATTTCATTTATTCCAATTAAACAATATTGTGCCAGTCATTAACTACATATATACTTGTCTCTATCTATTATCTATTGTCTCTATTTTAAATGTTACTTTTTTACACTATTTGTTTTCTTTTTTCATTGGAACTGAACCAACTAATATAAGTAATTTCATAACGTACCAAAACAGCCATTTTGACCTCATCTTACCCCCTATTGGCGCGTATATTGCAGCTTAATCCATTTCCACAAGATGGTGGTAGAGTCATAGAAAATGATGTCCTTATGGTTCATGTAGCTGCAAATCTACGGTGACTCACAGTTACTCTTAAATAACTTTCATTTTGATTCAGTATATTTAGAGTGTGACTTCTACCCTAATGCCGATAATTAGTTAACGATTCAGGTTATAGTTTCATTTACAGTTTTATTAACAGCTCAGGTTCAGATATTGTTTCGGGCATGTTTCAAAAATCCCAAAGTCTGGTAAATGTTACTGTGCGTGTGCTTTAGTGTAGCTGGCAACATTTAAAGGCCGGTTCAAAAGTCATCAGCATTCACTATCTCCAAGACAATCTGTTCAAGTGTGTGTGTGTGTGTGTTACCCAGCTGGCTGGTCCACTCTCTCGTTTTGCAAACAAGCAGCAACACCACAAGCCCTCTGGACACAAGTTGGACAAAGAAGAAAGAGCAAGGAGGCTCGCAACTTTCAAATGGGGAGCAGAGCAGACAAGATAAGATCAGTTATAATAAAGTTACTGCTCTGCCAGTAATGCCGATGAATCACTCTGAACAGTCACCCTGGCAGTCTCCCTCTCCGTCTTTATGTGGGGTGTGTTTTGTGAGTGAACTGGAAGAATTGGTCTAAATTCCAAATTTGGCCCTTTTCTTCACCCGATTTGAAATATTTGCATCTTTGAACACGATCATTTCACCATATCACCACACACACACACACAACGACTGAGCCACACAAATTCAAGGAAGACTTATTCTGGACTGGACTGTCATTGTTGGAGTGAGCTTAAGGGGTGCAGACAGAATGGTGTTGTAACCTGTAAAAAAAACACTGACAGTAAAGCTGTAAAGCTTTGGAAGTTGTGTCACTTTGATGCCCTGATCCTGAAAATTAAAGGTTGCACTCCTACACACTTTTTGGACGAACTGGGTTGCAAAAAAAACAAGCTGTAAACATCCTTTAAAAAATACAGCAATCATTTTTTCAGCCAGTGAAAGCAGATAAATGAGATGGCGTGCACATGTCTAGACTTAATAAACAATTTTAGTAACATTTAGTAACATGAATAAGTGGAAAGAGGTCAGGAACATGATGTGCTATAAAAAAGAGCACTATTCAGAGGCAGAGTCTCTCATAGATAAAGTTGGACAGAGTTTAGTAATTTATATATATGTTTATGTTTATGCATTTGGCAGACGCTTTTATCCAAAGCGACTTACAGAATAATTTAACTGGAGTAAATTTAACTGGAGATCAGTCTCAGGACCCCACCTCTGCCCATTGTCAGCTGGGATAAGCTTCAGCCCCCTGTGACCCAACTGGGAATAAGCAGTTTAGAAAATGGAAGGATGGGTGGATGCTCTTTGCTGTAATATAAAGACTAAATATTCCATATTTATCAGCACAGTTTAAAAGAACAGATCCAAAAACTACAGATACAGACACTGAAGCCACTAAATCAAACTTCCTGACATGACTTTTATGATTCTGAATATTTAGATCATTCAAGAAAAACCTTTCTGAAGAGTGCATTAATCATGACTAATATAAAAAATATACACCCGCTGACTCTGAAAAAGTTAAATTAGGGATCAGGATATGTGGGACAGGCCCCTCAGTCGTCTGAAATAGAACAGATAACCCAGAAAGACAGAGAGGTAACCTTGGGTAATTGTCATTCTAAGTCAGCTTAGACCTCGGGCTGTTTCACTAAGCAGACTTCTTCTAGTAGGTGTGGATGCAATAGCCCTTAAGCTGAGGACTAGAGCGTTTTGATCGAGTCTGCAAACCTTGGAGATTTTGCCTCCAGATAACAGATCGCCGGTTGATTTTGTCCAAAGATTTTGTGCGATTCGACACGAGCCCACCTATGATAGGACCACAGGGGTGACGTTTGGGAAAGTATTACACGAGAGACAGAGCAGAACGCATCTGAATAACACCAAAATGAAGAAGCTCTCGCTGACAGATAGCAACCCAGGGTTTACTTTCATTACTTGCTGTAACAAGACCATCATTTTGCATAGCTTCAGTTCCTTCCTCTCTGAAAACAGTCTTTCTGCTTCTGGACATGTAAAATCATGTGGCAGCAAGAGGTACTAATATTTTATACTACAACCTCTCTCTCACACTCTCAGTGTGTGTGTGTGTGTGTGTGTGTGTGTGTGTGTGTGTGTGTTTGCCAGTTATGAAGGAATTTCATGAACATGCCTTTCTCCTGGGGATTCTGGAGATGACTGTGGTTTATTTTAAAAAGGTTAGGGCCATCATGTGTTTCTGATTTAGATCTAATTCAAGCTGTCAAATAAAATATTAGTCCCAATGGGATTTCTAATCAGTTTTGATCATAATCGCCCGGGAATGTGTTTTGTGGACTCGCAGCTTGGGCAGGGCATTTTTTTTTCTGTGGACACAGAAGGGCACATGTGTGGCACAGAGAGAGACGAAATAATAGGAGGAAAAAGAGGGGGTGAAAGAGAATCACATCCAGAGATAGGTGGTGCATTCTGGCAGGCTGCAGGAATCTTTTTCACGCCCAGATGAAACCAGTGTCAGAGGGGGAATGTGTGTGTAGCGTGAGTATGATAGGTGTGGCAGGACAGAGGTTAGGCCTGTTAGCTTTTCCTAGGTGGAGGAGGGAGGAAGGGAACACTTCATAATCCAGACCAATGCTCTTAAGCTCAATTAATGAGAGACCGTGGGGAAACCACATGTTCGTGCAAGTGATTGTTTTGTGTTTTTGTTTTTTTTTCTGCTATGGTAGTTCTTGTGAAGTCTTTTTTTCTGCTACAATGTGAAATAATCTGATATATAGCACGGTCTTAAAGGGCAGCATAACATTATTTAATGAAGTGATACAGTGAAAGAGGGACTGTGAAAGCAAAGTCGTGAGGCTGTTAGGTAATCAAACTCAATGAGTAACTGTGGGAATTCAATTTTATTTTTCCCGATTTATCAAATGAATTAATGAATTTTAAAAAAAATTACTAAAAAAGAAAATGCTGTCACAAAACAGATACATCACATTTGTTAGCATTTCATTTAAACAGTGATGGGTGCATGTGACATGCTTGGGCTTTAAATGGCCAACACTATGTGGTCTCACATCATCTTCAGAGCCAAAAGGGTTAATGAGAGGGCTGAACTAGAGTAACTTTACAAAGGTTTAGTGCAGCTAATGGCTGCTAGGTTGCAAGTGACAGATCATAATGACTCCTAATTGAAAATTTAAATAATTTAAATCAAACAAACTTCCAAAAGTTTTGTCATATTTGTGTTAAATGTAAATAAAATGACATTGTAATGATTTGCATCTCAATCCGACACCCTTTTAACAAAACTGAACGGACAGAAAATAGCAGTTGCTAAAATGGGAGGCATGTCATTTAAGAATATAACTCATCCTGAAATTAATGAGGGCAAAACATCTCAGAGATGATGTGCAGCATTCCTGCTGCTCAACAAAAAGTCACATTTTCCATGATGTCATAAGTGTTTTCAATTTGGAAAAGGTTGGGACGGCAGACGTGTCAGTTCAGCACCTGAAATATGTCATTTGTGTTTTAGGAGTATCTTGCTCAAATAAGCAGGCCCTTATAGGAATAGTGATAGTAAAAATGAGGAACTAATTTGGATTATTTGCACGATCGGGACTTT